AATGAAATTTTCAGGAGAAGCAAAAAGAAATGTTTTATTTCAGATACAACACTGTGTTAAAAACTGAATCACGTTTATTTCGTCGAAGTCTGTTACTGATTTTAGAAGAGACATGAGACTAGGACCATTCGATGCGCATCATCATACTATACAACATACTACTTGATTTTCATTTCTTGCAAAATTTTGACATACGAATAACAATGATAGTGATGACACATTTGTATAGCATATGTGAGGCAGCGTCGTGGAATCAGGCTCTCGTCAATTTTTGGGCAAGTAGAGTTATTGGTATCATCTCAAAGCTTGATCACTTGTCTTTATTTCAATGAAAGAAATATCCATTTACCTTGAATACAAGTCGAGATATTTGCGAATGAAGGAGGTGGGGGTCACCTGTTTTCAGAGGCAAAATTCGTGAGAAAATGGCCGCCAAAGATTAGTTATTTCCTAAGCTTAAGAGTCCGTGGTAATTGAAAATTTACATTTTTTGTGCTTTTAATCAACGTTTTTCAGAAACATCCACACAGAAATGAGTTCTTTAATGGGCATGAAAGTTGTTGAGCCAAAAAACAAAAATTTGATAAAAATTCACAAACCTGCTGAAAAATGCAAATTTCTTCACTTTGGTTATTTTGACGAGAGCCTGATTTCACCACGCTGCCTCACATATATTCTCGCCTGGGCCGAAGGCGATGCGTCATTCCAGAAGAAAGAGCGAGATATTCAATAAAAATTATTCCCATTTCGGGAATCGAACTCTTGTCAAATTCGTGCGACAGCTATTGAAGCTCCTAACCACTATACCAGGCGCCGGTAGATCTATCCTCCCCCAACCTTTGTATAGCTAGGGTCCATGTTTGCCACCTCAAAGTAAAAAGGATAATATTTTTGTACAGTCCACCTGCATAATACATTTTCCCAGAAGGCTATTAAAAAATACCTGTCACTACCTGGGCAATCCCCATTACCCACCAAAGTTATCAAATCGCCAGCTAGATGGCGATACCTCCGAGTTTGGTAAGAGCTTATCTAAACAGTAGCTTCGCCCAGAAAACATCTAAACAGTTAAGTAGCCCTGTCCAGAAAACATATAAAGAGTAGCCTCATCTAGAAGAAAACCTAAAGAGCAGCTTCATCTAAAAACATCAGAATCTAAGTACTAGTCTCGTCCAGAAAATGTTTACCGGTGTCTGCGGTATAGATGTTACACGCTTCGCTGTGGCACACTGGAGACCCGAACTGAAATACCGGTTTGGAAGAATGTGTATCGAGCATCTCAGTCTTTCTGCTGGAGTGTTGTATCCCTTCTCAACCCGATCGGCCCTGACAAGAAGGCTCAAAGCCCCCCTCCTGAAGGATCTAAATTGTTTCGAGGGGGTGTTAAAACATGCTTTCATCCAAATGTTATTTCTTAAAATTAATGTTTAAGCTAAGCAGTAGCCTCCTCCACAAAATGTCTGTCAAATTATATTATTATTATTATTATTATTATTATTATTATTATTATTATTGTTATTAAAACAATATGCTGTGCTGTGGTATAGTGTGATAGTATCACTTATAGAATACAATGTATGATCATGTTTCACGTATCATATTGACCTAGTATATAGACCATGAAATGCACATACTTGTGTTATATTATAACGATCATATATAACACCAAAGAGTCTACATAACAAGAGGGGCCAATCCTCTCTTTGAGCCAATTAAAAAAGTGTCCTCAAAATTCGGTGGCGCCCTCTTTGCAAATGCGTATCTTTTGCGAACAGAGTTACCCTACTTGAGTTTAAAAAATCAAAGTGAAACTAGCAAGTTTTTGGATAAATTTCGGAAGAACTTTTTTTTTCAATGGTTACGCTGACAAAAAACCTCTTCCTGAGGAAGGGGAGATTGTTTTCTTCGTTTAATTTGACTTTAAAGTGAAAGGCAAGAGGTCATTAAAATAAAATTTAAAAAACTAAAACTCCGCACTGAACGGACCCGAACTGCTGATGAACAGCAGTCGATCTGCGAACGCAACGAGTAAGGGGGTGCTATTCCTATTCTTCTTCTGGAAAAACGAAAGAGAGCTTCAAAGCAGACTGCAGCGTCATCTGAAGCAGGAGCGGACTTCCGGTGGACACTTTTTTGGCGGAGTGGGCCATCTTGTTATGTACTATCTTTGATAACACTTAACATGCTTTCATTATACTATCACGTTGATCATGTATTACTCCTACTTCCATTATAAATAATATGCATTTTATTTATCATTTATTACAAGTACCATACTTGTGTTATGTACTGTAATTTTCAATGTAACATTATTTGCCCTTGGAGAAAATCCATTTTTCTTTTATTACGTTCACTCCGTGTCTTTCTTAATTTTATATGTCCTTATTTACTTTACTTTTATTTCATATTTTTTGTCTGTGTGTAGAGAAAGAGAGGAAGAGAGAGAGAAAGAGAGAGAGAGAGAGAGAGAGAGAGAGAGAGAGAGAGAGAGAGAGAGAGA